CCCCCAAAACCCCAAAACCCCAAAACCCCTTGGTAGATTTAGTAATTGAAAATATAGCTAAATATTATTCTTCGGGGTCCAAATCTGAAGGAGAGAGGTCCATCTCATCATGGAAGCCAGGCCCATCCATATTTCTAGCTCCAAGCTTCATTGGGGAGTATTGATCTGAAGGCTGGCTTGCTTCTAGGTTTTGCTTAATGTTTTGGATTTCATTTTCAAGATCCTGATAGGCTTCTTCAAGATTTTCTTCGTTTTCAACTGCATTACTAATTTGAGATGATTTTCCTGAGAAGCCTCCTAGATTTTCAAGTCTTTCTCTTTGTCTCTGCAGAACTGCTTCGAGCTTGCTCATTGATTCATCATGGAAATGGTCATAATCAGGAGCTGGACCTGGATACTTCTGGAGGCTCTGATGTTCACTCTCAGTACCATATCCTTGAGAAGTCCCTAAATGGCTTGATTGTAGCTTCTGATCACTATGAGAGAACAAATCCTTCTTAATATTTTCATCTTCACTCTTTTGGTCTTGAAAGACTACTCTTTTTTTGCCAGTTGATCTATCCTTTTTCCTAGATTCTTCCTTACTAGAGCTCATCTCGCTAGTAGAGTTAGCAAAGTTGTTCTTATTTGGAAGTTGCTTCCTGCATTGCTCTTCTTGGCCTACTGGGAGTGGATAATGCTCGTATTGAGGGTATTCTTCTTCCTCTTCTTCGTCATACTCATCTTTATGAAGCTCGACCTCAGCAGCTTCGATTGTCTCTGATTGCGGGGAAATGTTCATCATTGACTGAGGGTGGTCTAGAGGTTAGGGATTAACTTTACCATGATATTCTATCTGAATTCCTGGCTGAGCTGGTACATGCCTTGACATCACTTGCCTCCTTGATTGATTATTTGGCTGATTCTGCATAATTTGTGGCCCATGTCCTTTATCAACAACAATGTCATACTTTGTAAAGACTCCATCATCCTTTTGCGGAGATTGGTAAGGACTAGTACTCTGCACAACTTGATCTTTGGTTGGTTTTTCTGGGACTTCATCATTCTTCTTATAAAATACGTTTCCGAGGGACATGATGTTCTGGCCGTCAAACATTCTCCTATCGTACTCCTTTAAGTGAGCTGGTTTTTCCTTGTTCATTTCATTTATCAGACTCATTGTGGTAGAATATCACTTGAATTGATCCTTCGCAAAGAAGTCATTATTCACAGGGTAATAATTTCCATTAGTCAAGCTTTCATGAGTCATCCCAGTTGAAGCATCATTCGGTTGTGGAGGAGGAATGAAAGTATTTGGCTTAACCATAGCATTATGTAAAGAGTTTACTCTATCTAATTCCTCATGGTAAACCAAATCTGGGATAAAAGAGTTTTTAGACTGAGATAAAGTTTTTCTGTCAAATTCTTCAGAGTTCATAGCTCTAATTTGCTGAACTAGGTTTTGAGGCATATTTTCTTCGAAAGAAGAGAGAGTTTTAGGCTCAAATTTACCTTTTTCTCTGAGTTTTTTATTAACCTTTAAATCTCCTACCAAATTGGTAGGATTTACCGCGCATCCAATAATGCTATTCTCATCATGAAGTTGTCTATCCTTTTCAAGTGTAACAGCATTAGAGTTTAGATCAGAGAAAGGATTTTTAGGGCTATAAAGAGCCAATTTTTCATTACTCAAAATTCCACCAGGATTGCCAAGGTATCTTTTCAAGGTCTCATCCTTTGACTCCTGTCTCTTCGAATTCTTACCTCTATAGACATAATTATTTCTTAAGAAGTCTGCATCCTTAACAGCTTTACGTCTGAGTTTCTCATCCTGAATAGCTCTGGTGCGCATAGTCTCAACAGCTTCGCTTGATAAGTATTTAGCACGGTATTTTGGTCTGACCTCCTTTGTTTCCTTTTTAGTAATGACCACCTTCATATTTAAATTTAAAAATTAATTAAGATGGTTTCGCCAAGAGGGGTTTTGGGGTTTTGGGGTTTTGGGGTTTTGGGG